GTGGTTGTTTCGAAAGTGAGGCAGTGAAGATAACAACAATAGCAGGCCGTCATGTGCCATGTCGGACTCAACTAGCGGACAAGACAGCAATACTATACGTAAATATTAGTTTTAAAAGGTCATGTATGATGCAAGTGTAGTATATATATTTCTACCTATATGTTGTTGTTATTATAACGGTATTGATACCTCGTGCCTGTCATGACTTTTGCATGCATCTTTTTTTTTTGCCGCAATGTTTATATTTGGCCTTGTTGATGATGCGCATGCGGTAAAATTACATCACTGATCTGGGTCAATTGAGAGTTTTAGACTGTCAGGTGACGATTTAGGATTTCTTTAATATAATTATAATTTTACTCTTGGGGAGTGAATTTCAGCAAAATTTGAAACGGTATATTTCATAAGAAGGTATTTTAAACATTTGTATGCCATTTTAGCTGATACAACATTTTTTCCCCGACCAGCCCCTTTAAAGAATTAAACAAATGCTTTTTATATACATTGTTATAATGATCTAAAGATTCTGTGCTAACAGAGAACCTAGCGCTTTAATTGCCTAATTACCTGACATTAAAATAAATTAATCAGGCTTAACCCTTCCATCCCTTTGTAACTTTAATAGACTCTACCATGCATTGATCTGGATGAGTCCATTATGGTATTCAGTGGTGAAAGGGTTAATTAAGGAAAATGACTTCTTTTATAAATGAACCACTAATTTCCTTTTTACGGCCATATCCCTCTATCCCTATATGGAGGCCACAGCCTTCCTTTATACAACTAGAACACTGACAGGTCAGTAAGGGCCCCGTCTTGTGGCAATATATCCCCCATAGTCATCAAGAAGCAATCTGCCCATATAGCTGAGCTTGACGTTTGACATTTGGACTTTAAAATAAATCGCAAGGAAGCAAAATATGCATTTTACATGTGCTATGATGGGAGTCTTGTTTCCTTCCACCTCCATATTTGCTGGGCAAACAGAAATGTAAATACCGATGCAATATTAATTTGTGAGCTTTGATTTGTTTTATTTCACCTTATATACCTCCTACATCAAGAGCCAGGGTCAAAGTCCGAGATCCACTTTGTCTTTGACCTTTGGACCCAAATGACCTTGACCATTAACCTAGTGACCCTGAACTTTGATCAGTTGACTTATTCTTTAATTCCGACCAACTTTGCTTCTTAATATCATAACAAAATGTTCATCAGTGAAAAATACAAAACTTGACCTTGACCATTTGGACCCTGTAACCTGGACCTAAGGTCAGTTGACTCTGTGTTAAGTTCTGAACAACATTGCTTCATAATGTCATAACAAAATGTTCATCAGGGAAATGGTAAAAAATGTAACCTTGACCTTTGACCCAATGACCTTGACCTTTGGTCAGTTGACTCCTTGTTTAATTCTGATCAACTTTGCTTCATCATGTCATAACAAAATGGTTATCAGTGAAAAAATGCAAATTTGACCTTGACCTTCGAATCTGATGACCTTGACCTTTGACCTCGACTTTTTACCTCAGTGTGTCTCTTTGTTTGATTCCGAACAACTTCGCTTCATAATGTCATAGTGAAATGTTCACCAGTGAAAAGCTACAAAATTTGACCTTGACCCCTGACCCGATGACCGTGACCTTTGGTCAGTTGACTCTTTGTGTAATTCTGAACAACTTTGCTTCATGATGTCATAACAAAATGTTCATCAGTGAAAAGATGTTAAATTTGACCTTGACCGTTGAACCTAATGACCTTGACCTTTGACCTTGATTTCATATCAAGCTTGGTTAAAATCCATCTAGCCTTGCAGTTTTTACAGGAACATTTGCGGAACAGCAGACTATGATGTGAATGCCATGCCGCACGCATTTTGATTTCCAGGGGTTACGATCACCTACGCTCTGACGATTTCCAGGGGTTACGATCACCTACGCCCCGACGATTTCCAGGGGTTACGATCAACGAGGCCCCGACGATTGCAAGGGGTAAGGACCACCTACGCCCCGATGATTTCCAGGAGTTACGATCACCTACGCCCCGATGATTTCTGGGGGATACGATCAACTACGCTCTGACGATTTCCAGGGGTTACGATCACCTACGCTCTGATGATTTCCAGGGGTTACGATCACCTACGCCCCGATGATTTCCGGGGGATACGATCACCTACGCGCCAACGATTTCCAGGGGTTACGATCACCTACGCTCTGATGATTTCCAGGGGTTACGATCACCTACGCTCTGATGATTTCCAGGGGTTACAATCACCTACGCCCCGACGATTTCCAGGGGATACGATCACCTACGCTCTGACGATTTCCAGGGGTTACAATCAACTACACCCCGACGATTTCCAGGGGTTACGATCCCCTACGCTCTCAGAGCGTAGTTGATCGTAACCCCTGGAAATCGAGGATGTGCCGCATTATAAACTCACCTATCTTTTGTCCAGAAACATTATAAATGATACACGTTAGATACTGGTAACTATGTGATATGATTAGGAAACTGAGGATATAAATAGTTAATAATGAATAAAGAATCCCCGTTCCACTGCACTGTGGTTTTTCTTATATACAGTTACCTCCCCTTAACTTCCTTTCAGTTATTACTGTAGCAGTATTGTGCTAGGACACTTCCGTCGACCAGGTAGCTCAATTTGTAAGAGAGATTGTATAACAATTTGAACTCCATGGTTAGAACCCAGGTCCTGTTAACTGATTATTTTACATTCAGAACACTGATATTGATTATATTTTATTTATTTCATGTTTATTATTTCTCATAAAAGTACCGCAAGGTATGGTTTTCTTCAGAAATGATTTATAAAATCAATAGAGCCACGGGAAAAAAAAGTTTCCTGAGCTTTTTTCAAGTTTTTTGGCAGAGGTATGGGGATACTTAGCCCTTTCACCCCTACACAACTTGAGTAGACTCCCCCATGCATTGATCTGGTTGAGTCCATTTTGGTCTACAGTGGTGAAAGGGTTAAACAACCACTGCATCAAAGATATTGGAAGAGAGACAACTCTTATGTGACCCAGAATTCACTTTGCTTGTTGTTCCTTCGGTCATAACAACATCTGAACAAGATTTAGGCAACAGAAAGTCAGTATATTTAATATAAATTACTACTTCAGCAGCTCAAACATATTTTGAAAATATGATTTTTTTTAAACAGTTCTTTTTTCAGAACATTGAAAGTCAAGGCAGAGGTTTGGCACCAATATGAAAATCCTGAGGGGTTCAGAACTTCCCTGTCCTTTACCCCTGGGCATGAAAGAGGTTTTTGTGTTCATTCCAATCACCTGAATTAGCTCAGAAACAAAAACAAAAGGGTATAGCAATTTCTGCATCGTGGCATATCAAAATGTTTCCGAATTTGTAACATCATGCACATGAAATTTGGTGTTGGATAGAAATTTCTTACATCCCTTCCTTACCCTTGACAGTCCTGTCATACATACAAAGAAATGAGAGAATGTAGGACTCTTTCATGCCCAGGGGTGTAGGATAGAGAAATTTGGTGTTGGATAGAAATTTCTTACATCCCTTCCTTACCCTGGACAGTCCTGTCATACATACAAAGGAATGAGAGAATATAGGGCTCTTTCATGCCCAGGGGTGTAGGATAGAGAAATTTGGTGTTGGATAGAAATTTCTTACATCCCTTCCTTACCCTGGACAGTCCTGTCATACATACACAGGAATGAGAGAATATAGGACTCTTTCATGCCCAGGGGTGTAGGATAGAGAAATTTGGTAAAACCTGAGTCTTAGTGTGGGAGGAAACCGGAGTACCCGGAGAAAACCCACGTGGTCGGGCAGGTGACCCCAATTTTTTCATGTCCGATCGGGGAATCGAACCCCGGCCGCCTTGGTGAAAGGCAAGTGCGCCATCCATGGACCATCTGACCACCCAATCTACACTTCTACCCAACAGGGTGACTTCTGGCAACGTGTAAACACAGGTCCCTAATAAGTATGCAGTTCTTCAAATGGGGTTGCAGGTTACAAGAGTATCATTTATAGAGAGGTCTGAGAGTTTCCCCCAGGAGTATTCAGTTCTTTTAAAACATCACAGGGATAATTTCCCATGTTCTGAATAGATGCTTCTTCAGGTTTGATAAGACAAGAAAAACTATCCTTTTTTTTAATAAATGTATTTAAAACATTCTTTAAATATGCAAAATAATGAAGTTAAGGTTAAATTTGTCATCACTTGTATTTTTATTCAGTATTATTAGAGTATATATATATAATAACAAAACTATAAATCAATGAGGAATTTCAATACCATTTTCGCAAATAAAGGAACATATCTATTATTAATCCACTAGCTTTTTTTTTAACAAGATTGAAATACAGTCAAACTTTGTTGTTTCGAACTTTGCAGGACCACCGGAAAAATTTGAAACATCTAGAATTTGATTCACGAATGTTGAACTACCCACATCCTTGAGATACTCTATATATATACTGCATAAGTCCGAAAGTGATTGTTATCAAAGTGATGGAACACAATGGAAGAAATATAATTTTGAATCTATAAATATTGCATTTAAAGTAGTTAGAATTTTATTTTTACATATTCATGTATTCATATATGTAGTTTGCATGTTAAGGTGTTAAAATTACATTTCAATGTCCTCGTTCGTGTAACTGTTTTACTTCAATTTATTAGTTGTATTTATCAATGTTATCATAACGATCAGACCTAGATTATAGTTCGAAAACTGCAAGAAATTTCAACTCATAAAAGTTTGATTTCTAAATGGAATATCAGAAGTATCATATAATAAGGAAACAATTCTGACATTGCCGCAAGTTTCGAAAAATCAAGATATTCGAATCTTCGAATTTCAATTTATGGAAGCCTGATCATGACCAATGCATACACAAAAGTTCTTATGAAAGCCTGGGTATTTTTTTTACGTACGCTAGCTCTTACATGATCTACTCAAAGTGACTACATAACATCGTGCAATACTTACGTTTCCACTCCTTCCCGACACACATGATGAAATGGGTGATGGACATGTACAGGGCGTGACATGATATGATACATACATACATCTGAAATAGAGGAGAAAGACCTACAGTAACTTACTTCAGTATGCAGTGTAATGCTTACAAACTGGAACTTGGGTGTTAGATGTATCAGTATCACTAACACAAAAAAAGTTTGAGTCAAAGTTTGAAAGTTTTAAATCAAATAAAATGCTGTTTAACAGTCATGATTTCATGTTTATTTACCTTAAAGCTTTATTCCATCCTTGAAATTTCATGGGTTTCACTAAAAACTTACACTATCTGAACCACTGGAAAAAAATGTCATGACAAATTTGAAGGCTCTCACTTCGCTATATGATTGGGTTCGGGTAAAAAAAAAAACCTGACCGATCGCCAGGCCGAAACCTGTTCTTTGAAGATAACAGAGGAATGAAACCCAACTTCAAAGCCAGTTGATTTAACCGTTACACAGTCACGATATTTGTCATCTGACAAGGTGGGGCACATACAGAGCCCTCAATTTTGCCATGACATGCATATGTATCCAAGGTGTGCAGATCTAGAGAACATAAGTGAATGAAACACCTGAAATTTTGAGGATACTTTAATTCTGCTGAAGAGTCCCAGACTTCTACATTAGTTTTAACTAACACAGCCAATGATTCATTGATTTTACACAGATCAGATCAGCCAATCATATTACAAGTAAATCTATCATAAACAGCTTCACCCTAGGTATTCAATTTGCATTTGCTGGTTTGAAATGATCACCTCATAATGAACCTGATCAAAACAGAAAATTGCTCTCTTTAAAAATAATATGCCAAAGCAAAATGAAACATAATAATTATTTTTAAATGATTCTACTTACTGTAAATAGTACAAAAAATTTTTGGTTCTTTTCTCCCACACAATTATTGACCCAGGGACAGTGGTGATCCATCTTCCTTATACACCTCTGACAGACACTGTAAAAACAACGAACATTAATTATACAGACATTAATTAACTTGGCGGGTTTTGTTGGGTTTTTTCTGTTTTTTTATTAATTCCAGACATATCATACACATGAGGATGGAAAACGTCAGCTACATTAATTAACTGACATTAATTAACTGTTGACCAACAGAATTGAATGGAAGTACCAACTGAGCACTCAAAGGCAAAATTATGCAAAGATGGTTAATTAGAATATCATAAATTTAATTGAGCAGTCTTGGCTCAAGGGTCCCAGCTGTACCACTGCCAAAAACTATAACTAAGTATACATATTAGAAACTTATTTTCCCAGAATGTCTATAGCTTTGATAAATCATTTCTGAAATTAACTCATTCACCCCTGAAATTTCATAATGAACTATTCTTACCATTGAATTGGAAGAGTTTAAATGTGTCTTCAGGGGTGAATGAGTTAAAATCATACCTTGTGGGACTTCTATGAAAACATAATAATATAAAGATAAAATAAACCAAATATATTCAAGAACAGTGTTTCCAGTGGACATGTAAATATAAACTCAGAGTGCATGGCCCTACAATGATTTGAACCCTTGACCTCTGATGATTATTAAAGTGTCGCCATAACCGAGCTATACCTGGTAACTGGTCAACAGTCAAAATGCCTTTGTGTAATCGCACCTTAATTATTAAATCTAAAACCAAATGAAGGGGAGGTTACACTGTATACACATAAAAAACCACAGTGGAATATCTAGGACCCTTTTGCGTATCCGGTTCAACCGGTTTGTCTATTTTTAAATGTAACATTTTCAGGTTTAAATCCTGGCAGATCTGCAAATGTGTATGCAGGCCTTGCAAGGCTTGGTCAAGACTCGCCTGAAATCAGCATCAAATTACCTAGGTCTGACCTTATATCATAAACGAACAACTCTGGTCCAACCAGTTCAACCACTTCGATCGCGATAAATGAATGTGGCCCTAGTGTTTTGTCTACAGTGGGACAGGGATCTCATTATTTGGTAGAAAAATGAGTTGGAAAAATATGCAAATTATTTTCACAATCTAATGTTTTACATGTGTTAATACATAAATTAATACTATATAAATATACAAGAGCTGTAGGAGCTAGAACAGCATAGGTAGTCTATTGAAATTATTTTTGTAAAAAGTGCTATTATCCCTTTCACCCCTATGTAACTTTACAAAATGTAGTAGACTCTACCGTGTATTGATATGGATGAGTCCATTATGGTCTACAGTGGTGAAAGGGTTAAATAGTTATTGGGCCATTACAGGATGTCCCATATTAGATAATAGATCAGGAAACTAGAACTACATTGCCGATGGCTCACTCCCGCTATCCCCCCTAAAGTAACCCCTAACACACACCCCATCCCGATAACCATATGCAAAAATAAATTACTGTAAAAGGTTGTGTTTAGTTTGATATGCATAAAGACTATATCAAAAAAAAAATTACCCCCATGACTCCACCCCTCTGGCCTCGTCCCTAGGGGTCATGTCAAAATTCTGAAAGTTTGGTGCACTTCCCCATACATATATCTACCATGTCTAAAAGTTTCAAGTTCCTACTTCAAACAGTGTTGAAAAAGTTATTTTACCCCTTATCCCTCAAGTACACCTCCCCCTCCCTTACACCATATGTTAAAATAAATTGCTTTAAAATGTAGAACTCATGATAATGTTTAATTTGATTTGCTATAGGTCTCTATTTTTATTTTCTTCCCTCTTTTTTTAAATATTTGAACCCTGAGAGTCATATCAATAATCCAAAAGTGTTGGGCACTCCTCCATAGATATATCTACCATGTCTAAAAGTTTCAAGTTCTTCTTAATAATAATAATTTGAGGTTCTTATATACCGCTTTATCACAACCTAGTTCGTAGGTCGTCTCAAAGCGGTTCACAAACTATCAACCGTGGTTATAGGGCCTTTGCAACCAGCCAATATATTTCTCAACTCCCTGGGGAGCATACAGCCGGAGCTGCCATATCGGCGCCAACAGCTAGCATTCAACAATTCTAGCACTGCCCAATTCAACCATGTACTCATTTACAGCTGAGTAGACTGGAACAAGCAGAGTAAAGTATGCTGTGCCGTGACTCGAACATGCAACCCTTCGGTCACGAGCCTGGCGTCCTACCACTAGACTACCGTGCCTCCTACATTTTCTTACCTTCTTCACACATTGTAGAAGCAGGTATTTTACCCCTTATCCCTCAAGTCGCGGGCAATACATTTTTTTTAAATGTGATAGACACCACAACACAGTCACATATATGCCAATACCTGCAGTGGTGAGCTCTCTCTGGTTTGATGCTGACACACTTTGGACATTTAAATATCACCTGTCCATCTTCTAAATGCATTCTCTGTATGTTTTCTTTGGTGGCATTTCCTTTGGGAACAGCACCCTTAAACAAAATAGCGAAAAACCTTAGGGCTGCGTCTTTATTTATCTAAAATTGATAAATCACATACTTTTACTTGCAAGCCTGTTTGTGGCCAATTAGGATTTTAAGAGTCGAATGTGTTAAATATTTATACATCTAGCACTTTCAATTACTTCACGCTGATCAAGATATATTGTTTCAATTACAGTATACTGTGGAAATTTTGACAGTGAATATTTAGTACACAGCATATTATCCTATTTACGTATGAAAGGCAACGAATTTTGTATTACCACTCAGGGAATATAGATTTTTGTCCAGTGAAGGGCCATGCAATACTTGACTGAGCAAAAGTTTCCTGGTAGACAATAATTCAAGAAGATTCAGACGCAACTATTTTCTTCCATGAATCTTTATGTCTTTAGAGAGTTTTTAATATAAGTAAACAATCAATGAATTCAGGAATGAAACCGAAAGCTCACAAAAAAACTTAACACATTTACCAACAGGCCATTAATCATGTATATAACTTAATAAATGACCAAGAAATGAACAGCAAAACCTATTATTTTCCTATTAAAATTGTTAAAATCTATATTAACCATTACAAATCCTAATAATGATTTTTTCATGGCCATAACAAATAATTACCGGTACATACGGAAAGTATTTTAATTGGAAAATTTCGATCATGAATACTTACTGGATCTGACAGCATGGTCCGAACATGCGAGGCAATAGCTAAGAAGGCAAAGAACTGAAATATAACTCCATTGAAAAGGCTCCATTCTATGTTGGGATTATACCACAACATGACAAAAATCACAACATATTCAGCATACAGGATCAGAAGCCATGTGATAATGGCGCAAACCCAGCCACAGATGTCTCTGACGCACCATGCACGTTTACAGGTGAACAGCCACGCAAGGCGGAACCGTTTACAGATCGGTCCACAGTCCACTATCGTAACCCCATCCTCTACTGGGCCTTTGTGTTTGGATTTAAGGGTCTTCACAACTGGTCCTTTGGGACGTTCCTGTTCTTCTCGATTTTCCCTAAAAGGAAAGAATTAAGACAAAAGTTAAACAAGGAGAAAACAGAACCATTTTGCATTAATTTATGTTCAGTACTAGCCATTTGAGCTGAAGGGAAATTCTCTTTTGGAACTCAATCATTATGGTACTGAGATGTTCTGGTACTTGCTTAACGTGTTTTGGTACTTCCAAAAGTTTTCATTCCTATTTGTGTTCAAAACAAACTTAGCCTTTATCTCTCACCACCAAACTAATGAATCTTATTCCAAACTTCCAAAATTTGTTTTGATATGCATAACTGGTAAGGTAGCAGTGTACAGTAGCATACGATGGCCATGGGTGATATTTTTATACAATGAATAACCCCTGTAATATAACATGTATCAACATTTTAAAAAAAATCAGCACTAAAATTGGCATGTACATGATTTAGTAGACTATGTGGGCTTCATAATTTAAAAAAAAAAAAAATGGTTTGAGACTTCAGTTTTGGGCATTTACAAATCTGTGTCTACACAACAAAAGCTAGCTGTTCATGTAGTCTATTTATGTTCTCAGCCTATGTGTAAATATTGTGAAAAATCCACTGGAATGACCTTTGCTTAAAGGCGAGTATTTCTGTTACCGAGTAGGCGGTTTTTAATTTCAGACGGGTTTTAAGAAAAAAAATACTACTTGCGGGGGTCAAATTTTGGGTTAAAAATCATGTTTTTTTGCATATTTTGGTGTTTTTTGATGTGGTAACCATGGTTTTCACAAGTCCCAAATCTGGGGAAAACAGCTTTTGAAAAAAAAATCAGTCTTCTATACAAAATGAAATCAAAATGTAGTTTATAAATATGTATATATATGTAGGTGTGTTGTGCAGTTTGAATTCACTATCCATGTTTATCCGAGACATGTCCTTTATTTTTAGGGTCAAGCCATTTTTACTATACACTGCTACCTTAGGCTTTGGCACTTGGACTCGAATTTTGATTTGCTTTAATTTGTTTACTTTTTGTTTCCTCTGCTGCTGATTTATGTTTTAAGATTTAATAAATTTGCTGAACTATTCGATCAATTCTTATATTTTAAAAGAACAACTCAAAGGATACCAATTGAAAGTGTTATTTTTCCAAGTGTATACACTAATTTTGAATATGCAGAATCTCCAAAGTGGAAATTTTGAAAGGTTTACAAGTATACTATGCATGGTTCTACCCAAGTTATGACTGAGCATGATATGTCATGTGATGGATGAGCTGTGAAGTAATAAAATAATTGGAATTTGACTTTTGACTCGCTATTTTACCTACCGGTAAGGCCAAAAACATAATTGTCTGTTTAGGGTTGCATGAGCAAAAAAACAAGGGTAGGTAAGTCGATTATGTTTTTGAATTTTTTGTGTATATTTTTGTGTACCGTGTGGTCATGTGATTATGACCCTACTATTGTACATGTAAAACAAAGAATAACATAAACAAGGTTTATTTGGAGGCAAATTGTGCTCCATATGCTGAGCTTTAGCGCCACCACGGAGCTGGAAGCCATTTTGAAAGGCAAGGAACCTTCTAAAATTTGAAAATCAGTTTTTTTTAAATTATTTTTTAATTTTTAAAAAAAAAAATCATCAAAAAGTTTTGGGTCGGGGGTAAAAAGCTAGGGTCGGTCGGGAACCCTAAACAGACATATTTTTGTTTTGGCCTAAGCAAGATACAATACTTCCTTAATGAGATAGACTTATGATTTCGAAGAAAACCTTGAGAATATATGCATGTTAGCTATCTTCTTGATATAAAGATCTCCATTCAACAATGACATTACCTCCCAGTGGGTTCTAGACATTACGGTACCAACACATTTAAGACATTTTGGTACTTCCCAAAAGTTGTTTCAATATCAATGATATAATACTTTCACTTACTTAATTTTCTTTTTTTTTGTCATGTATGTTAATTTGAATGCTAGTCGTTTCGGTAACAGGTCGTTTCGGGACATGACACAAGATGTTTCGGACATATAAAATGTTCACTTATAAATAATATTTCGCTCCCGTTTCATATAAAGTCCTGCATGACCTGTGTCATGACTTACCCGTGCTTGGGATCATTAGTCTTACCAGATTGCTAGAGGGGATACCTATCGACATTTATCCGATTGACAGCGTGTTGTTATCTGGTGAAACTAATCTCATTATTAATTTATACAGATCTAGAGGAACTTGTGAAATTCAACATTCAATTTCTTTCGTTATTGAAAGTTTAATTCCTTGTTTGATATTGCAATACAAATGAAGTATGTTTTTAATTCACTCTATTCTCCATTATTGACATTTATTCTAACAAGGTTTTAGCATTATATTTTTGCTATATCGAAATTAAATTCATGAAAGTAATGTAAATCAATTCATCAAATCCAGCAATATATTTTGAACAATGTTTTTATGTTGTGTATTTGTGTCTGTGTGAATATTATATATATATATTCATGTTTTATTAAAATCTTGTAATGGTAAATGTATGACGGAAGAAAGCTATGATAAGTTGTAATAACTTTTATCCAATCGATTGTTTAAATTTTATTTGACAAAAAAAAAAAAGGAAAATCCCAAAACAACTTTTGTCATATCCTAAAACGACTCGAAAATGTCCCATAACAATTTCGTCTTGTTACCGAAACGACCCAACACCGTTAATTTCTTATTTTATATTTTTCGTTTTTACAAAAACAATTCTGTAGTCCACCCAGGGACAGTATACGTCCCTGAGTCCACCATTCTATCTATTGAGCTAAAGGGAGAGTCGCCCTAGAGAGCAACTAGGACTGTGATCTTTGGTACAAATTAAAATCTCCCATACCTTTACGAAAATGAGGGTTTTATAACCAGGTCGGGGAAAACCACTAACTGGTGTATAATACGCAAACTCGCCTACAATACGCCAACTGGGATGTGGATTTGTTACTAAAAATAGCCAAAATCACTTGAAGCTTAACTCTGTCCAAGTCACATCTATTTAGCCATGAAACATCATACAAATGCAAATATAAACTTTATTTGCATGTGGGAAAGTACCAAAAATAGTTGCAATACTTCCGGTAGTGATACATCAAGTTTCCAAGTAGCCAACCCTTTCAGTATACATCTTTTAGCAAAATATTATTTACCTTGTCGTAAATTAATAATAAAAATATATATATTGCAAAGGTTACTGTTAACGTGATTTGGGTTATTTCAGTAACAAATCCATACTCCAACTGGCGTATAATAGGCGAGATTGCGTCTATACGAAAGTGGTTTTCCCTGATCAGCTGATAAAAGTGTCAATCGGGAGTCCGGTCCAAATTTTCACTCCAGATATTTAAGAGGTAGGCACAAGTACCTGTTTAGGAATAATTCATATTGAAAAATATCTGTCTACAAGTCAACTCGATGCATATGCAGATTTTTAGAAATATACAGCAGGTTCGATAACTGTACGGAACCGATATCTAAATCGGAAGCAAGTGATTGAGAATGATCAGATGATAAACACCGAATAGGCGAAACTGAAGGATCCCGTCTATAAATTTGCATGTTGGTGTAATCCTAACTATGGAATGTATGCATACATGTTTCTGGAATGCAATTCGTTCATCACACGGGATCAACGTCTCATATTTTCGCCAAACGCCATGTTGTGCAGTTTACTTGGATACACAGAAGGAAATTGCTTAGGCCGATCACTAGTCTGTGTATCTACAATGCTTTGATAGAAGAAACAACGCAATACATATCCTCGCGCATGCAAATCACTTTCACGACCCAGATGGATTATCGTGCTCAGTTATTGATGACGTTTACAGCAAATTCCACCAATATCGTAGTTCACACTTCCTGTTTTGCTTCACGTGTTTTTGGAGTTTGAAGCTAAACGATGGTTGATGTTCAACTCAGCGACGCAGAGAAAGTATTTATTTTACACGGTGTCCAAGTGAGTAGATCATGCATCTAAATGTCCAAACTGCCACTGCTCTTATAGTCGAAGCATGGCTCTCAGGAAGTCTCATGATCATGGCACACAGGGTCAGCTAAAATAGGAGCTCAATATACAAATGTAGATGTTTGCGATACTTCATTGGTCACTTAAGTGAACAGTATGATAGCTAGATCGTGAATGGTTCTTGCAGAGTACTGAGTTATGACTTAGTAAACTCTAATATTCAAAATTCGCACTAAGATCAGAGCAAGGGAGGCAATCCTTACAAAAAAATAGGATCAAACAGCAAGTTGTTATTTAAAGCTGACAGTGCAAGTTAAAAAGCTTTCAATTGAGATTAAAAAAATAAAGTTTCTTTTTTTTCTGGTTTTGAGATCTTCCCCAGTGACAATCTCTTCCAGTTGTCGTATCTAAGGAAGCGGCGACGTTTTAGAATGTACTTGCTCGGTAACGAGTATGGGTCTTGATGGGTATAAAAAACACATTACCTGTCAAGTCGGTTATTATTTGTTCAACGTGTGCACAATGTGACACTACTATACTAGGCTCGGCCCTCGGGCCGAGTCTTTTCTTATACTCCATCAATGATATCACTGAGGGTATAACATCTTCTATCAGACTCTTTGCAGATGATACCATCATGTATCTGACAGAAACATCTCAGAGAGACGCTCACACCCTACAAAAAGATCTTGATAAACTGGCGCTTTGGGAGACTAAATGGAGGATGGCTTTCCATCCTGAGAAATGCCAGGTCCTCTCTGTCACAAGGAATAGACATCCCATCTATCATCCCTACATACTACATACTACATGGTCACGAGTTGGAGCATGTGACCGAGGCTAAATATCTTGGGGTCACCATTACTTCTGATCTCAAGTGGAGTACTCATATCAATAACATCGCAAAAAAGGCTAATTCCAATCTGGGCGCAATCTCACAATTTCATCCTCTAACATCAAACAAAAGGCCTACAAGTCCCTGGTCCGCCTTCAGGTTGATTATGTAACGCTAGCCCAGTATGGGACCCTTACTTAAAAAAAGATATAGACAAGCTAGAGATGGTACAGCGCAGGGCTGCTCGTTTCGTTGCCAACCGCTATCGTAACACCTCCAGCGTTGGCAACATGTTACAACACCTAAAATGGCGTAGTCTTGCAGATCGCAGAAAAGACGCGAGGCTGACCAAGCTCTGTAAAATCCATCATAATGAAGTTGCCATTACTACTAAATATCTCACCCCTATAACCAGACAAACAAGGCATATATATAGTCATCAAACCTCATTTCAAACTATCTTGTGCAGGACGTCTGTAAGAAAGAAATCATTCTTTCCTCGGACTATCAAAGATTGGAACAAACTCCCTTCTCAAATCATTTCTTCTGATCCAATACTGTCCTTCAAATCATCTATCTCTGCTCATCAATATTAAGTCCTGTTCCTTTCCTTTCATATCGCTACACCTATATATGACATGATCTTCACTATGCTGAAGTAGGTCATCAAATGGTAGAAGTAGACTATGTATAAAACAATTTCACGATTTTGAACCATCATTTTTTTATCAGATCAGTTGAATACAATTGAAATGGAACACATCAGAGATATCATTTATCTAAGAATAGTGGAAATAATAGTGAAATACAACCAATTGATATATCTACTGCATCTGCGCCCCCTCCCCCACCCTCTCCACTAAAAAACCCCAAAACAAACGGCCCTGAAAGAAACAAACATGCATACAACTAACGATAATGCCTACCTTTTAGTTATCCAACTAGTAATATTAACATCCTGTGTGAGACCAATACTACATTGTAATTTCAATTATTTTAATGAGAACGGTTCGCAATTATCAAATTTCACATTGTTGGTTACACACCTGGGAGTGTCGCATTTTGCACCTGTTTTGCTAGTAAAACGTCTACACGACGAAGACTAATTAATAATTTTTTCATGTGTGGGTGCATTTCTAAGCATGTGAAAAACCGGTATACATGTATATATGTGGGATTTATTGAACTGTTTCCAGTAATATAGCTTTTATTTTGGATACACAATTTCGAGAATATGCCATAAGTAACAACCAGTTTTGCAGTGTTTTATAGTCTTCAGGTGAGTGTGTTTGATTTTTGATATCGGTTGCCGATCAAGGTGCATGGTGCATTGAATCGCAAGACGGTCAGTTGTAGAATGGTAACCGGTTTGACAGGTAATGCGCTTTTTATACCCAAGTAAGGGCAAACTGAAATGTCGACACTTCCTTAGAAGCGATAGTCGGAAGAGATTGGGAAGATCTCAAAACCAGAAAAAAAAAAGAAAAAAAAATCTCAATTAAAAGCTTTTTAACTTGCACTGTCAGCTTTAAGGTAATTTTTTGAAAACTCAACATTACGTTACAAGGAATTGTAAATTTGATACCAGGCATATTAGTTTTTAATAATTGCCTCTCATTGTGGGATGATATTTTTAATTTGTTTAAATTTCAACATTATGAACAATGATTGAGAGGATTAATTAGCTAATTAATTGTTTGTTTTTAATGTTTACAGGATAACTGTCGTGAAGATGGCAGAGGATGTGAGGACTACAGACATTTAGAAATTGAGACAAGTGTCATGTCCAATACGAATGGATCGGCTCGAGTCAGATTGGTAATTACAACAATATATATAGAGTAAAACCTCGTTATACCGCCACCTTCTGTCCTCTATGATTTTAGCAGTATAACAAGTTTGGAGATATATATATCAGGTTTACAGTTTTAAACCCAAGTGTTCACATACCAACTGAACTTATACTTTAATTATTTATTTTTTTACTTCAGAATACATTTTTCAAAATTGTGATTTAATGATATTGTATCAAATTGTAAAAAATTCAAAACATACAGCTGATTTCCTGGTCAGTCGGCAGTCACTTGTAACAATACAATGTACACACGTACGTAACATTCCTGTCATCGGAATATTTCTATACTCGACTCAAATTGGTCAAATCTGTTCTGAGTAAATTAATGGTGGTATGCAGTTTTGGCGGTTTAACGGGTGGCATTACAACGGGGTTTTACTGTACAATGCTTAAGGGTGCTACTGAAAGGCACTCTTGAAGAGATTACTGTTTTTGTATAGTTTATATACAACATGCGTAAAACCACAAGATAAGTGTAAACTTAGTTTAACCAACTTTAATTATATTGTCACAAATTTTAACAATTATTTTCGTTAAATAATGATTAATATGACATATATCAAAATATATACACTATATTATAATTTTTCCACAATATTTTTCTATTTTTTTTATACATGTACTGTATATGAAGTCCAATTTGTTTACTTGTACAGTAGTTTTATTTTGATGCAGGCAAACACAGATATCCTGGTTGGAGTAAAAGCAGAATTAGGGACTCCGTCCCCTGAAAAGCTTAATAAGGGACGAATCGAGTTCTTTGTGGACTGGTGAGTGTTCAATGGAACAACTTTGACTGTTCAATTTAGAATTAAATGTACTAATTGTATCTTTTATTCTGTTGTAAGTATGTTATACAAATGTACCGTTGATGGCACCGGACATGATTATTACATATTAAACAACCATTAATTGCAATGTCAAAGTTTAGAACAATATAAAGTAAACAATGTGTATGGCATCACAATTTTTTATGGCATCACAATTTCACTGCAGATGTGTGTATTTTTTTGGGTCTCATTAATTGCTTATAAAATAATTAAATGAAATTCATAAATTAATAATCTAGAAAAAAAACGTTCAGAGTGAGTGTCATATTCCATATGACTTATGTAATTGCGTTGAATTTGTTTTTAAAAAACTTGGTTTTAAAAATTTGAGATCCTCTAGATCTGTCATAAAATTAAACTTACATTTTCAGCTCGGCTAATGCTACGCCCGAGTTTGAGGGCAGGGGAGGAGAGGACCTGGCCACAGATATCAGTAACATGCTGTATCGGGCTTATGACTGCCCAAACTGTTTTGACCTACAGCAGTTGTGTGTAATCCCTGACCAGCAGTGTTGGATACTGTATGTTGATATCCTGGTATGTCAACACATGTCCATAGTCTTTGTGTATTGCAGAGTTATCTGCTCTTGTGAGCAGGTATTGATTGTTACGTCAATGGTTTGTGTGAGAAATTACGTCGTTCTCTCAAAAATTGATGACATTACTCTCACAAACAATTAACGTAACAATCAATACCTGCTCACAACAGCAGATAACTCTGCAATACGAAAAGACGGAATATATCATTTTCCAAGTCCAATATTTAAGAAATAGCAATAGGAGATAAGACATATCATTAAAAAAATTATTAAGCAGAAAATATGCCAAAAAACTTGGGAGCTGATTAGAGTGGAAAACTCTTTCATTTTGAACATTCTGTGTATTGAATACCAACACACAGACTCAACCCATTTCCTGACTGTCCTTACCTCCAAAATGTTTTTGAAAGAAGACTTCTGATTTTGGGTCCTAAAATTGATTTTCAACCTCTGAATTTGCTAAACCATTCCTGTTTTTCTAAGATCTAATGATTTCATCTGATTGAAAACTCAAAAGATGATATTTAAAAGTGATGTTTTCCCCCTAGGGTTTATTAATTTAGAGCATCTGCATGTGTAATCAACTCCGTCGATATTTCAAAAAAGTTTGCAATTTTGGGTTTGACATATTGTGAAAATAAGATCACGTATACACAGATTTGTTCAGGCATAATTATGAAAAGATAACGTCAAACTTCACCTGTATTATAGTGGGATGTATTAGAATGTAATTATTTTAAAAAAGAGAGAAAGTTTAATGTTTTCTGTATTTCTCAGTTGTTTCCCTTTATTTTACAGCTCCTGGAATGTGGGGGTAACCTCTTTGATGCCACATCACTTGCAGTAAAGGCAGCACTTTTTAATACAAGGTACTCTACATATAAATTATTTTATATATTTGGTCTTGTTGGCATTTTGCACTATTCTTATCAGGTGGGCAAGTTTGGGGAAAAGAAGTGGCCTGATCATGTATCCTTATACATGAACACAAAAGGTGCCCATACTACTTACTGCACATGGGACCAGCTGCAGACTTGAAGGTTTTCTTCTGACTTTTGCATAAGAGAATATAATTTATACATCAGTTTTTGTAATATTTGGAATTTCTAAAGATTCCCATTTGTCCTTTATTGTAATGTGCCAAAGTAAAGCCACAAACAAATAATCTACTTTGAAAAAGGCCGTCAAATTTGACGGAAGTATTATGGTATGGGGTTGTTTGCCTGTCCGGCCGGCCGGCATAAACTTTTGTTTGTCCAGCAATCTCCTCCTACATTTTTCGACCGATCTCTTTGAAACTTGGTATACATTATAATCATGATATGAAGTTGTGTCTCCATTAAAAGCACCTACATTTTTTACAGCATGTCAGATTACCACTCTTAGAATGATGCATATCTTATTTCATTGTAAGAAAGTATAACACTATATGGCATTCGACGGGTGTATATTGTTCCGCCCAGCGGTACTCTTGTTCTAACATGGAGAGTACTTGTTTGTTTTAAAATGATTTATGAACAAAACTTACATCACTACACTTAGTTACTTTGAATGAATTTATTGCCTTTCACTTCATACATAAATGCAATGCAACACACAGAGTGTATTATATTATAATCCGTTATGTAACCTTCTTATACACATGTAAATTAACCTTCTTATACACATGTAAATTAACCTTCTTATACACATGTAAATTAACCTTCTTATACACATGTAAATTAACCTAACAAAGTACATAACTAAAATAGCACCAACCAGAAGATGGGTTGCATGTTCGAGTCACGGCACAGCATTGTGTTGTGTCTTTGAGCAGGATACTTTACTCCGCTTGTTCCAGTCTACTCAACTGTAAATGAGTACGTGGTTGGGCAGTGCTAGAATTGTTGAATGAGCTAGCTGTTAGCAGTCAAAATGGCAGCTCCGACTGTGTGCTCCCCAGGGAGTTAAGAAAGATATTGGCTGGTTGCAAAGGCCCTATACCCACGGATAATAATTTGTGAACCGCTTTGAGACAACCTACAAACTAGGTTGTGATAAAGCGGTATATAATAATCCCAAATTAATTAATTAATATGTTAAAATAGCAGTGATTATAATTATTTTATATTTTAACAACAGTGGTTGTCACACTTTGCTACTTTCCGTAGTATAACGATCCTGATTGTTACTCTTTGTTACTTTCCCAGTATACCAACAGTAACCGTTACTAAAGACGAAGGAGTGGTAGACCTAGAAATCTCAGACGACCCGTATGATGTGCAGAGACTGGACATGAAATCCTCGCCCTGTATTGTAACCCTCAGTAAGGTATGCCGACTTAATTCACATTACTTACCTGCCTTCATCTATCAGTGGCTGATCCAGAGTATTTTTGGGGCTTAAGGCAACACCCCCCCCACCCCCCCGACCCTGATAATTTTCTTAAAGAATTAAGTTTTTTCACCATTTTCCTCCATTTTTCCCCACTTGGACCCACTCCGGCCCTCTATAATATGCGGGAAATAAGCGACCCGCGCCCAGGTTGCACATCAAACTGATATTTTAGAAACAAATCGTCACTTTCACACACATGTCGCACATGGATCGGAAGAACTAATCAGAAGGATTTGAAGTCTTTCAGTTTGGCATGGGACGGGCGTGTATTGTTCCGCCTTGTGTTAATCTTGTTAATACGAAAGCCAAACCCCTGTCCATCCCAAATCCGCAACCTCCTTTTTATGAATAAATAACTGTAACTGTATTTTCAGGTGGGCCATTCACATGTGGTAGATGCCAGTCAGAAGGAGGAGTGCTGTACTTTAGCCAGGTACAAAAAAAAACCGAGTCTCTAATCAAGCATATTACAGACAGATCTGGAGTCAAGGATGACAATTAGAGATGGAGATGAGAGTAGTAACTTTACCAGTAAAAACAATTCATGATTATCATTCAAATAATACACTTTTTTAAATTAAAACTTAATTTGATGAAAAATGTAACAGTTAGACTATTTGGTAGATATTTCTTTACTTAAGCATTGGATGTCTTTGCAGGCTCATCATGGGAGTGACAGAAAAAGGGACAATAACAGCTCTGAAAAAGGAGGGATCAGGCAGTCTGGACCCCACCAGTATAGAAGACATGATGGAGGTATGAAAAGGGAAGGACAGAGAAAACTATAGACATCGCTAATGCCAGTCAAAATATTTTTGAAAATGTGTTGATATTTTTTTTTCTCAGCTGAATTTTTTTAAACGATCATATCATTTTTCACCTTAAAACATTTTCAAAGAATCATTGCTTTGTCATCCGTGTCCCCATCAAATTTGCAATAACCTGTTCACTTCCTAAGAAAACTTTGAAAGGACCCTAATATTGTTCTTTCCAGGAGATTTTGAAACATCATGGTGGCGTTTTACCTGGATTTTTTGTTTTTAAAAGTCGATGGTATTCTGCTTAATATACTGTAGTATTTATTTAGATAGAAGTGTAGGAACATTAAAAATATCATTTTACTATCATTATTATGACATATATAGAAAAAAGGTTTTTGCTGCCGTAGTGTTAGTTTTATAGGTGGACCGTGATAAAGATTCCAACATTGTGAGTTACTGTGTCGTTGGTAATATAGTTGGGATTTAATTTTGCTATATTGCATTGGTGACCACCGATGATAGGAAAGATCTGTTTACCAATCAACTGCTGAAAAATGAAGATAGAGCAATTCTATATCACATCTAATTTGCTTTCATAAAACACTTGTGAAAAATAAATCCTATCCTCAAAATACAAAAGTACCCTCATGAACGCTATATTTTACCTAGTCATGTTGCTAGAAATTTAATTCCAAAAAAACTAGTTGTGATCGGGACAACCACGAAATATTAGCCCCGCAAAAGTAAAGATCTATACAATATTTCCCTTTTTGTAATCGTAGAATAAAAGTGTTCTTTTGGTAACTGGTCCCTCATCAGTTTTCATTTGATTTCCTTGATAACTAGTAAGAATTTTCAATGTCATACATAATTTTACATGTTTATCAAGCATATTGTTCCCATTGTTTTGATTTGTTTTATTTCTTTTCTTTCTTGCTTTTTCCCCTTCAGAGAAGGCCCACATATTATTGGGTATTGAAGTTTGCCGTTGGCTTACTGTTTGAGTGACATGTTAAGTTGTAGTGGACTTCTTAAAATGATAATATGACAGTCTAGATGCTTCAGGTGAATGAATAGATTATTAACAGTTCTGTTTTCTTTTCCCTTGCAGACTGGTAGACGGGTCGGAGAATCTCTTAATAAATGTTTGATGGACGCGTTGGCCGAGGAGGAAAGACAGGGCACCAAGAAAAAATCACTTGGATTTCTGAGATAGCACAACACTGAATGCAAATGGAATAAATGAGAAGTGGCGCCAAATGCTCACAGCTGATTCAATGACAGTATAAAGTTCAGGAGGGGTTCAAATGAATCATATGTATTGTTTGATCGTTCAACATCTTTAAGATCAGAAACATTGGATGACAATACATGAGCTGCTGAAGATGATCTCTGTTCAGACTAGAGATATGAAAGTTACTGGACACATAATTGGTTGAAGTTAATCATTATACAGATTAAAGTTATGGAAGTGAAAAGACAAAATGGCTGAATGAAGTGTGACATCTGGTAAGATCAGAGATATTGAAGTGACAAGATGTATATTTGGTTAAAGTTGACCTCTGAAAGGATTGCTAGATATATGGAAGTGACATGACATATGATTGGTTGAAGTTAATATCTGAAAAGATTACAAATGGAGGCGACAGGACACATGATTGGTTGAAGTCGACCTCTGCTAAGGTCAGATATTTGGAAGTGAGAAGACATTTGATTGGTTGAAGTTGACCTCAACCAAGGTCAGAGATTTGAAAGTGACAAGAAATATGATTGGTTGAAATGACCTCTACTACGGTTATAGATATGGAAGTTACAAGACATTTGATTGGCTGAAGTTGACCTCTGCTAAGGTCAGATATATGGAATTGACATGACATGTGATTGGTTGAAATGACCACACCTGAGGTCAGAGATATGGAAAATTGACTGAAGTTGACACCAATAAAATTTAGCAACATGACTTACTTGTAGTTTTCTGAAGCATGTGGTATTAGTTTCTTAAACATTTGACATTTTCTTGAAGGCAGTGGTCATTTTCCCCCCAAAATGAGGTGAAAATAAATTCGATCAAGCTGTGTAACAGTAGTCTCTTGTCCACCAGGGGTTCCAATATAATATGCTGTGTCCTGCTACGCTCAACACAGTAGGTTGTGGAATATGCATACAGTTGCTTCAGGCGATTACTTCTACACGTTTTTTCGCACTGCGAGACATTCTGGTGCGGTTCCTTACCTCATCTTCTGACCTGCAGGCTACCCCCAGGACATTCACTTCCTCTGTCAAATCCCTCCAGAAGTCCTGCTTCTGGGTATCAGTAAGATCACTTGAGTGTCCCCCTCTCACGATGACCGGCATCTCTGTAGCCCCCCTACTGATCAAACTATTAATGTTTGACGTAGAATGTGGCTTTCTCTTCCTTGGTTTTGCTTGGCAGCCATAATTGTAGACGTAGGAGAAATTTGGATGGCCTTTCTCGGTTTCTTATTCCTTGTTTCCCTTTTTAAATTATAACACACGTCCCTTACATAACTAGCATGTCAAGTGAGGTGATAGTGAATTTTGCTGGTAAGGCAAAGCGTATTAAATCCGGGAAAGGTTGATGGTATGTCTGCTGCACAAACCTAGATCAATATAAAATAAGAAGCCCCGTCCAAAATTTTAAAAAAAGAGTAAATATATAGATAAATAATGTTTCATTTCCTAAAGTGTTTTTCCGGAGTGTTTCAAACCCGAGAGTTAACCCTCACCACTGTTAAGTTACTCACAATAGTCGGATTGCTGTATTTCGATGTCAGTTCATTAACCTTGTCGCGTACACACGGGATCGAAAAACATTGCTTGCAATATTTGAGGATAACAGTTTCCTGCTGGCATAAGCAGTAGGATGTAGTTTTCCACCAGCTTTCTCGAGCAGTACAGCCCCCAGACCAAGATCAGGTGCGTCTGTTCTCGGTGTAAACTCTTTTCCAAGATCAGGTAGTTGTAATACAGGTTCTCACTTTAATCGATCTTTTAGAGTGGTGAATGCTTTCTCCTGTGCATCCTCCCATACAACTTTGTTGGGCATTCCCTTTTTGGTAAAGTCGGGGTTGGGCACCGCGCGCTATTGCTGCAAAATTGTTACCTGCAAAATGTGAGCTTTTCAACCCCAAAGAAACATGTTGACGGCCTTACTGTGAGTTTTGTCTCGCGTAAGCGTAGAAATAGACGGTAGGCTTTTAATCTGTTCCTCCCACGTCACTGTAAACGCCAATACATCATCCAAGAAGTTATCTAGGCTGCTCAATCCTTCCAAAACCTTCTGCACGAGCCGACTTAATGTTACGGGCGCATTGACTAACCAAACACTCATCACCTTAAACTGATTTAGAGTAGACCCATAGGTGTTGTAAATGCACTTCGTCGTTTTGCCTCGTCAGTCATGGGCACCTGCCAGTAATATAACCCTTGCTTAGGTCTAACTTGCTGAAGTAATTACATCCGACGAGCTTCACGAACAAATCCATCCTCTGTTGATGGCATTGGTTCCGTGTCAAAGATGGTGATCTTGTTTAATTGGCGGTAGTCCACACAAAATCTACACGTTTCATCCTTTTCCGTACAAGGACAACGGGTGAGCTGTTATCAGAATCAGATTTCTCGATGATGTCCATTTCCATCATATTTCTTGACCTCTGTTTTAACCGTCTCGGTCACCTGATAGGGCACTTGATATGGTTTCACCCTACAGGTAGTAGTGACCTCAGTCGCATGCCTGCGCTGATTGGTCCCGGAATAAGATTATATTTCTATCCATGTTCGTGGTTCTAGCTACACCTATTGGAGCCGGTGCCCACTTTTTGCATGGGCGTGGCTTAAGTAAATCAAGAAAAACATTGGAAACTTTGTCAAGAAAAAAGAAGATAATATTCAAAGTAAATGAAACAAAACCAGATCATTTCTGTATCAGAAACAAGCAATGTTAAAATTCGTCATGAAAAATGGATATTGCAGTTAATTTACATAAAAAAACTCATTGGGATTTTAGCCCAGCAGCATCAATTGCATAGTTGTGTGCTATATTACATGACCATATATACGCATATATTGCATGAAACACAACCAACCACAAAAAAATCAATCACCTACTAGCTATATGTATGATTATAAAGGGTGGATGACAAGGCAAGGAGGCCGATATCATTTACGATGCTTCCAAGATCTTCAAATTGTGAAGCACTTTGGTGTTGAGCAATCTGGCTCTTGAGTTTCACATATTTTCCTATATCCTTATGGCGATATTTCAGTATGGGGCCTCTTTTCGTTGGCATTTTCTTAAAAATGTCAATCTCCTTCCACAACATTTGTCACTTAAATATTTTCTTCGATTGTGAAGGGCATCAACAAGTCTGCCATCATTATCTTGCGGCACATATGGCACCAGATTAGGACATGCAAGGAAGACTTTGGATGAAAAGTTTTATTTTTTCCTGTCAAAGCTTTCATTTAATGGGGCCGCTCGTTTCCACAGTATTGCAGCTTTGTCTGCACCATGAACAAGTCCCATAAAATATGCTTGTGCTGGTGAGCTCACTCCTCCTCTTTATTCCATTGGTTCATACACAACTGATTGTCAACCTGTTGACAATGCACTGCACCAATACTGGATTTTACTTGATTCTAAACAAAACATAGCCTACATATTAGTTTTACTCCATTATGCTGTAGATATTTTGTTTCAGAATTTGTTCTTTGAAATTTTAATTTGTAAGTGAAAATCAGGTGAGCGGGTTAGGTTCATGAGCCTCTTGTTATCATATGTAAAGGTCAACAATTGACCGATAAGAAATACCAGTGGATTAGTTCTCAACATGATTATACAGTAATAAACATGCAATATATAAATTTCAATGGTTTGATCATCTTTAATTTGTAAACTGTTGCACAGTGACTTGAATTTATTCACGTATACCGGGGAAATTTTCGCCCACTCAAACTTTCGCCTATCGCCGGTGTAATCCTTGTTCGCCAAGTTTTAATGTTGCCCTTCACGTTTAATTATTACGTTTATAATGTTGTTTGCGAGGGCGAAAAGAAAATGCAAAAATTAAACTGCAACTAAAATTTCCTGGTACAGTATACAATACTCTCTTTTTGATTGTCAATTTAAGTGGTTCCACCAGGTTGATTTAAATCATTATTGGTTCAAAAGTTACTCGTTGTCCCCTCCATGTTTTGTTATTGCAATAGTATGGGTCAATAAAAAGCGTTGTTAAATTGTCGGAAATCTTCTTTAGTTTATGATAAGATAACAAATACAGAGAGTGGTACAGGCCTCGTTGGCCTATCAAATACGCTAGGTAATAAAGGGAAAATCAGGGTGTAGGATTTATGGGCCATTACACTACTGTGATTTGATACTCTTCAAAAATCCTATCTCATTGGGTTGTAAGATACCCAAGAGCCATATATATAAAGTCAATGTATTGTAAAGATGCTTCTTTTTAACTTTTTAGATTATGTTATTGTATTCATACAGAAACCCCAATGGTTTGTAAGACGTACAAGAGTCATATGAAGGCTATGCAAGGATACTTGGCGATTCCTCTCACGAGGTGCATAATGTATTAATGTTCACAATAAGGAAAGATGTACAAGTGTACCCTTTATTTGAGTCTATAGAATTGATCATGTGCATGACATGTGATAAATGTTTCGCCAAATAGTAAATATAAGCTTTCTATGTCATAGGTTGTATTAATGAAAAATTGCATTCCTGCTTTGATATTGAAAAATTAGTTAAAATACGTTTTATTTTTCTAAATATTGAGATATCTCTAAAGAAATCAGCTGAAAGCGTTGTTGTCTGTTAAGGTATTGTTACAGGGATAACATATTATGAAAAACAACCAATTGAAGTGCAACAAATGTGTATTTTTGAAATAATATTTTTGCTCGTTAAATTTTGAAAATATTACCTACCAATGTTGTTGATTATATTTTAAAACGCGAATCTGGTGCAGCGACTTTTATTTTCTTGTCACTTAACTACTCCGGACAGAGTTTTGCAAGTATTGATAAAAAGTTTTTTGAAAATTGTTATTATGCAGATTGGAAAATTAAGTACCAATCTCGTGTTTCAAAAATTGTCATGAAAGAATGAACGTGCGACATACAGGTGATCGCTTCCATAAAATACGGCAATAGATACAGAATGCAGAACAAATCATTTCACTATACCGTTCAGCTGTTTCGTCCTTCTAGGACTCATCGGTGATGTTAGGGGCCAAAAAAAGGGTGAAAATTCAAATTGGTCAAAACTCCCGTTAAAACAGAGGAGGGGGTGCATAAACCCTTTGATTGTTTCGAAAAATTAAAGGAGAACTAAACATGTAAATTGTGCTCCATGTAACTTCTTATTTATAGAACAAGTGAGTATATAAAACTAGAGAGCGAAATGATACATAAAGACGTACGCGTACATTTTTGTTTTGCTGGCGAGAAACCTAACCATGAGGTGGGCACGTTTTGGAGACAACGCGTCGTAACCGTCTTCATATGAATATCAACTTGGCCTTTTTGCGAGGACGTTAAAAAAGTCACCGACTTGATACAGGATGTATGCTTACTATTTCACTGACTTTCATATACTATATTGATATTTTACTAAATAAACTTACTGTTGAAATACTAACTTGGCAAACAACATACTAACAGCATTTTGGCAGAAAGCTTCCTCGAAATCTAAGGTTTCGCATTCGAGAATTACCCATCCATTCTCTGCACTCCTGTAACATGCGGATTGCCCTGACAAAATCGAAGGATGGCGGTACGCTATTTAATTTGGTTTTAGGTATAGAAATCGATTTTGCCATCACTCTGCTGCCGGATTCCTTTGATCTTCAACAGAGACATTAGACAAGTTAACATGTATACTCAGCAAGAGTAACATAAAGAACCTTCAATATTGTCATGACGCATAACAGAGTTGCAGAGGA